GGCAGACGGCATTGTAATATTCATATATTACTTAACATTTATATAAACTAAAAATAAAAATTGTTGAATTTTGAGGGACATCAGAACTCTCGTGTACTGTACTACTGTGGTATGACTAGTATGTACAACACTATTTATATTTATTTAATTGTATAAATATGTTATTATTTTACGACCTGGATATGCCGTCGTCGTTTGTGTTTTTATATTTTTTCGTGTTACGCGCTCGGAAACAAAAAATATACCCCTACTTCACCGGGGTAGCAAACTGTCTGTAGCAATAAATTTTAATTTTGAGACTAAAAAGTAAAATACGTCAGCCCCAAAAGAATAGGTATAATCAAACATACGTATACATCGACTCTTCGGGTAATATGCATGACCATATCTTGAGTGCAGACGCCATATCGAGGAACTTCTTTCTTCATCTAAATCCGAACTGAAAAAATTGAGATTTTTTATAAGAATTACTTGAGTAGAATGAAATATGTGAGTAAATGTTTATTGTTGCCTTACACATTGCTCTTTTGTTCAATGAAATTGTTAGAATTGTGAATCGTCACCGATGAGTGACGATGATTGGCTGTTGCCATAGATGATAGATATTGTAATGGTGTGCAGTTTGCCAGTTTTCATATTTTTATAATTATAATATTACGCACGATGTAGAGAAGAGAAGGTGATAACACTCCGTGAAAAAAGTGGCTTATTTTTCGACGGCACTATTTTAGTTAACATGAATACCGCCAGGCACCGCCACAGTACTCGAAATCCGGTTGAGTCAATTATTTCCTATTAAGGTGCATTGAAAATTTGAAAATGAACTTTATAATATAGTATTATTGTTCAAATTTCTTAATTCATATGAAATATGATTATATCACACTAGCAAGATGGAATAAAAAAAATGTTATAAAATAAATACATTGAGGACAGAGATAGACTTCCAGACTCCAGTCATAACAAACAGTATTTAAAATAGAAACCCCTTCTTAATATTGTTCCAAATTTATTAGAATTATTGCAAGAACTCTGACTGCCCATTTAAACATCATTAGTTTTTTACTACTGACAGACACAATAGACTTTCCTAGTTTTTCAAAAGCTAAACAAAGTTGAACAGGTAAAATAATTTAAAATGCCAAACAAATGTTTTGTGCCAGGCTGTAAGACGGGATATGCTAGCGAAGGAAAAAAATTTACATTATTTCGAGCACCAAAGGTATAAGACTACAATAGACTAAACAAAATTTATAAACATTTTTAAATTTAAAGTATGTAATTACTTATTGCGGATTTATGAGTATACCTTTAAAAAAGTTAGTCTTTTATGGGTATACGCACACTTTCAATTTATCATCAGTCAATTAAGTCATATCACCAAACAAAAGTTAAAATTAATAATAATAAATTATAATTCACAAATTAATATAACAATATTTTATTATTTTTTTTATTTGACCGAAGACGATCGGAAACTGCCAAGCGTGTACACAATATTAATGTATAGCAGCTTTTCCCAAATTAACTTCCTTACTTTTTAAGTTTGATACCTAATAACAATTTGTATTCTTTATAATATTTATGAATTGAATTAATAAAAAACCGGAAACTCGTTCTGCTGTACATTTGAGGGTGGGGTGAACCTCGGACTAGAGTAACTCGGTAAGAGTTTCAACTTTCTACGCTTATACTTTTTGAATAATAACAAATATCAAAAATCAGTTTTCGATAAATCTTTATTTTACGCAATTTTGTAAAAATTTAAAATTCAAACTTTCATAAAAATACTTATATATAGGCAGTTGAATAAAATGTTTCATATACCATTATATATTTATAGGCACACACAGGTATTTTTCATCTTAAATAAAATATTTATTTATTTATAAATTACGATGACGCACTACGCCAGAAATAATTATTTACTTAAACAGACTCAAGTACCGACTTTTGTTGGAGTAACTTTAAATTTTAGTCTTTTGGGCGAATTTACAAGCAACCTTTTTTTGTTTGACTAATAGTTTTAAGGGCTCGAGCCCAATTTGTGCATTTATTTCCAATATCAAGGAGTAATTGACAATTAGTATGTCTGTACGTTTCTGTACTATCTATACTTTTAATATATTAGTGTTAAGGTTAACACTGCTAGTAGCTGAAAAATACTTCGATACATGTCATGGATTTAGTCCCTGAATAAATATAATCTGTGGTGCTATTACTGCTATTGAGTATGGACTCGTCAGTCGCCTCCATAACACAGAACAATGTTAATAAGACAGACTTCTCGTGGCCCGTGGGTCTTACCTAGCGACGGGCAAATATAAATTCCCCTAAAAAATGAAATAGTAAATAATTCCCCTAAAAACATTTTGTGCCGTATGACACTTATGTAAACTCCCCTAAAAACATTTTGCTACCGTATTACACTTTTGTAAACTCCCCTAAAAATATTTTGCTACCTACCGTATTACGTTTGTTAATTCTCCTGAAGGAAGTAATAAAGATAGACTGTTGTCAACTTTTAATTTTTTAATATTATTTTTTTTTTAAATTAAATAAACTATCCGCGGCATCAAAGGCGTATTACATTTTATTTTATTAACATTAATAGTTTATACATTACTTATACATATACTCGTATATAGATATGATTATACATATAATAACGTTTTGAGATATAACAAAAAGTGAACAAAGAAGACAAATAATGACAGAAAGAGTGAGTTAACGTATAAGTAATTTATTATTATGGCAAACTAATTTTTATATTTATAGATACATTAAAAAATATTCAAACAGAAATTTACATAAAATTACAAAATTTATAAAACAAATAACTCTCGTAGTAATAAATTAAAGAGACGACAACAATTTTTAAACCAGTTAATAGAAAATTATAAGGAACACAAAATTACTACATTCCATTATATAAAACAGTTTCACACTATTACTCAATTAAAAAATAATTATGGTTTTAATAAACCTAGACATCAAGTATGACAATGAAAAATAATTTTTCAAAATAAATTTGAATAAAATAATATAAATGCGATACAAAAAACAAATATTTTTGGAGGATAAATAGAACCGCCTCCACGTGGTGGCCCCTGGGTTACGCTAAATGGTGCTAGTAAAATATTTTTAGGGGAGTTTACAAAAGTGTAATACGGTAGCAAAATGTTTTTAGGGGAGGTTACATGTGCCTCTAGCGACGGTTGGCACCATCGACCACGTCGAGGGTCATTGCCTGATGCCGACAAATGCCAACTTGGGCTATGGTGACGTACTGACGTGGTCACAAGAGGTCACGATAGCGTCATTACTTCACCGGACCTTAAATGTGAAGGCACGTCCACTCCGTCCTGAGCAGTGAGCAGTGAGCACGCTCAAGATGAGCACCGTGTGCATAATTACAGTAAGCAAAATATCGCGATCCCTTGTCCGTCGAATCTGACGGACGTTGAGTGTGTGACCGTCGGCATTTATAGTAATCGTAGAATCAACAACGGATGTAAAGTACGTCAAAAATTAGAAGATGTGACCCAGCCTTATACTGGTAAGAAGATCAACAACAGGCGTATAAGACTGTGTCAATTATTGGCCAAATCAGGCGATTGTGGCCTTGAACGCGCGGTCTCCGTGGTAGCATGATATACGTTAAATAAAGAGAATAGTAAACACGATGTTGACACAAGTGTGGTTGTGCCGGAGCGCTAGTGGTAAAGATGGGGGGCGACGACCACACTGAGAAATACGATTGTACTTGGACGCTGACTCCAAGCGTCAAAAGGTATAGGGCGATAGCTTGAGAGGTTTGAGGTACAGAAAAATAACAATACTGACTGTTGGTAGAGACGCGTCTGCGTCGAGATCGTTTATTCGGTACAATTACGAATAGGTGCGCGAAAAGGCACCGCTAAGTCATTGCGTAAAGATACGGTTGTGCGGTCGACGGAATCGTCGAGGGGTTCTCTAAGATGGCGCGGTCGGTGGGCGTAGCGGCTTTGGCGAGGAGCGGGTCGTCGTTCGTGGTATGTCTTGGATATCGGATCGCTAGATACACAGAACACCCATGCTAATTCGTCAAGGTCGGGGTAGTGTGGCGGAGACTGTCAAAAATCAAGTTACGGATACAAAAAAAAATTCAAAAACGTAACGACGCGTTTTCGCGTCGACAACAAGTGGTGATAAGGTACAAAACGTACACCCCCATACGATTAATGATAGTATTATCTTTAACCGTGTTGGTAAGCAAGCCGACCCCGGGCCTCCAAAGGCGGTATTCCTTTGTTTACTTTGTTATAATGTTATTGTTGTTAGGCGAACATTAAAGACTATAATTGTAGGTTAACAGTAAATTAACAAGACGGTGACTTCCTGTTCTAGGACAACGCTCGGCGCTCGCTTTAAAGTCTTTCTCGTGTCTTGCCATTCGCCATCCATCGCCCAGTGCCCACCACTCACTCGACAGTCTGACGTTTGCGCCTGTGGCTTGTTTACTTTTTAGTCTTGGGTATTTTGCAATTTGCACCGATTAACCCAACTTGCGTTCTCAATCACAATTATCCTGCAGACTTATCTGGCTCCTGTTATAAAGATTTTTTTATTTATCTTGGCACGGATAATAGTAAAGGTATGTATTGTGTATTTATGTATTGTCAATGCCAATGTTGAAATTTAGACTTGGATTATTTTTTTATATTGTGATTTTATATTTATAGTATATGCTAGCCTTGAACATAGAAAAGTATACTTGAATTGCTTGAATACAATTATCCACGATGGCGGCCAATGATGACACATACAATATTCCAAGTCTTATGAATTCTGCTTTCAATGCTTGTGTCCAGAGCCAACGCAACAAGTACTACGAGAAGGATGTACGAATTGTGGATTTAAAGAATTGTTGCAAAGCACTTTTTGAAGTTCTGAAATTGAACATGGAGGCTGGTACTTTCGATCCACTGGGTGATCGTCAGTCAATGTTTACTAAAGTGCGTAACAAGTTAAGTGTAGAAAATATATGCGAGGAGGCCGCATTTTATGGTCATATTGAATGCATGAAGTTTGCTCGTGCGATTGGTGTTCTGTGGCTCAGTTCTGCCGCAACTGGTGAATCAGCATGTGACCGAGCCATATCTGCAGGCAACCTGGATTGCCTGGTTTATGCCATTGAGAATTTATGTCCAGCAAATGAAGAAACGTGTGGCTGGGCAGCATGGGAGGGCCAGTTAGAATGTCTGAAGTATTTACACAACATTGGAATCCCGTGGCACAGCAAAATGTGTAATATTGCTGCAAATCGTGGGCACCTAGATTGTTTGAAATATGTTCATGAAAATGGATGCCATTTTGATAGAACTACATATAGTTTTGCTGTTCTTGGTAAACACGAAGACTGTATACAATATGTGTTTAGTAAAATTTACAGAAGGTAAGACAATTATTAAAGTCCACCATGACCTATGCACTTAACCAGACTTGAATAAAATACTTTTAAAAAATATTTTGTAATACTTTTATTACTTTACTATTTTGAATACTCGATTACTTAAAGATAGTATTTAGAATAATGAATATGTATTCCAATAATTTTTAGTTTTGACTCAAATATTCAACCAATGATACCTATTATTCTTCTGGAAAATTTGAAATTAGCGCAAACAATATATAGTTATTCTAAATATAATAAAAAATAATAATAATGATTGGGAATAAGATTTATATGTAAATACATATTTTTACTGTGACTTGATAAATTAATTTAGGTAAGTGATAAACTTGTTTCAAGCGATTTCCAATGTAATGAACTATTAAATTAATTTAATTTATATATCTCTTAATTTTGGATTTTTAAAGAATTCAATAAAACAACTAGAAACAAGAAAAATGACTAGTTCAAAAGTTAGGTTCAAGGGTTACTTATAAAAGAAGCCGAAAAATGCATAGAACAAGTACAAGGACCCTTGGGAGTTGCAGTAAAAGAAAAAATGCCCAGTGTATTACATACAAATCCAGGTTTAGACTGCCTAAAATTAATTAGAGATACACATTGCGAAATGAATGGCGTAATATTGCCGGCTGAACTCACTCTTTTGGACATTGCAAATATAAAATTTGCACCCATTACCTCGGTGAAAGTCAAGCGCTCCTTTAGCCGTTACAAATCTGTGTTACTACCAAACCGTAGATAATTTAATTTTAAAAATTTGAGAATGTATATGGTATCTCATTGCTTCCAAGATCAAGATAAATAATGTTGAAGTAAAACAAGTAAATTAGATAATAATGTTATTTATAAAGCAATTTTTAATATTTTTTTTTATATTCCATATTTTCATTTTTTTATCACATACAAAGCAACTTTTTTTATTACATTTATATTTACATATTTTGGTTTTTAATACATATAAATCTGAGCCCTATTAATGATACTTGATTTAAGATGTGTTTGATATAGTAAAAATTACCTGATAAAAAACCAAAAAAAAATTATTGTTTGTTCTAAGAATACAATTTTAATCAGTTAATTTGAAAAAGTATTTTAAAACAGTGCTACGAATACTACCCAAGGCTACACTGAACAATAAAAGTCCAAATTAATAAACAATAATTGTCAAACAATACCATTTGTTTTATTTGTTAATTTAATTATTTTCTGACTGTTGACTATGGAGCTGTTATTAGGGATTTTCCCACCACTAATGACTCATTAAAGCTTGAAAGAGTTCAAATAAAATTCTTGAAATATGAAAGGTTTAAATTAAATATCCCTTGTAAGCCCCATAATAATGATCCAGTTGCGTCACAACTTGGTTTGGTTTCCTTGGCTGAGTGTAGACATATTTTGGGGAACAAGTTTTTAGATGGTTTATTACAAAGTAATATTGACTCTCCTGAATTAATATTCTTAATTTCATTCGATGTACTTCAATACTGTAGTTTTTTTTTATGTTCCTTTTGCCTCAAACAACTTTCTTAAAAATGAATCCCTATCAGACGTATGATGACCAATACCAATGTTGATCCTTCATTTCTTTTGAATCTTTTTCGATACTAAGTTCTCCTTCTAGCTATTAAAACATTTTTGTAATTGTTTATATAATTAATGAATGTATATATGTGTATAATGTAAAATTGAATGTATATATGTCCAAAAGTGTTTATTCCTTGTGTATTATAAAAAAATAAGTATCAAGTTTTTGTTATCAATGCAGAATATACAAACACTTTAAAGTTTTTCATGCATTTTTTTTTTCATTCATTATATATCTCATTACAATTCACAACATGTATTTGGTATTTAAGTACACAATTTGATAACTATTATACGTTAAAATAAGATGTCCATGATGACAGGGCCGGATTAAGGTCTTTGCCGCCCTTAGGCTGAAATAAATTTATCGCCTAATTAACATAGGTATTGATATTTTACTAATATCTCAACGTCGTTTTTGGGTCACACCAAAAAAAAATGATGAAAGCCTGATGAACTGTATCATAATGTTACTTTAATAGATACTTAAATAGACCAAGTACAAGTTTACTGTAATGTGTTTAAATTTAATTTTCATAACTGTTACAAGTCACCCAAAAACTGAAGTATTTTTTATAATTAGTTGAAAGCCAATTTTGGTCAAAAAACTAAATGAAAGGTCAAACCCTATTCATGAGATTTATGCAAACATAATATTAATATTAAGTATCTTTTTTTAAGCCCAGAATACCAAAAATATTCTGACAGTATCTGAAAATTGTTTGAAGTAAATTATTTAATATTTTTTTTTGCTTATTTACTTTTATTTATAGATAATTCTTTCTCAGTTGTTTGAAATATTGTATGTAATACATAACACATTGCATATTCTTATGTTAATTCTTGGTACGTTTATTTGAATGTACTAGCATGAACTCTCACCTCCAGCACAGCATTTAGCTTTAGAAGTGATCCAACAATAACTATATTTTTGTATAGGTACAAGGTACATCTTGTAAATATTGCTTGTTGGAGAAAGAATAATAAATTATTATTATTATAAATATTATTATTAAAATAACTAATTATTGTTAGTCGATGCACACAAGAATAAAATAGGTATGCAAAAAAATTTTGGGAAACCTTAACGGTTATATATTATACATAAAATACAATATTTCAATTTCATTTATTTATGTATTTATTTTATTAATTGGAATTAAATAATTACAAGAAGATACATTAATATTAACTGATTATAACAACTGAGTTATAAGCTCATATCTGGTGCATGGAGTTCAACGATATTACAATTTGTTTTTTAGTAAAAACTAATACAAATAATATTATTTAATTAAATAAACATAACATAATAAATAGATATTTTAGAAATAAAGTTTAACATCAGCATTCCATATGGGTACATATTATACGATATTTTATGGGTCGATGGCCAGCTTTTTCAGGGTGGTTAGAGGTCCCCTCATATGTAAAATTAATTATAATTTAAGTGTATTTGGCAAATAAACGATACAGGACAGGGTGGCAGTATTGTGCTTAACAGTTCCCACCCGTTTCTAGTTTTTTTTTAACGGAAAAAAAGGTACATATTTTACAATATTATGTTTAGATCTACAGACTTTTTATAATTTTATTGATACACACATTATCATCAAGATCACGAGTAAACTATTTTATTTATTTATTAATCCTGATATTAATAGTATTTAATCACAAAGTTATTGAACTATTCCGAGTTATAGCTGATATTAAATGTTATATTAATGATAATCTGTTCAAAAAACAATAATAATAGCCTCAATGATAGCTTTGTTAATTAAAACTTAAATAAATCTGTTCGAGGAAAATACAACTGTAAAAATTTAAAATCAAAATTCAAGAACCAGAACTTATTTCACTGAAGCTACCTGCAATTAATTATGTAAATAGTAATGATAGCCTTAGAACAAGCATAACTAATATTCAAAAATAAATGGGCACTACAAGTCAACTTTTAAAAAAGACTGAAAAAAGTATTTAAAGAACTAAAAATACTTTGATTGAACAAAAAAAAAAATTGAATTTAAAGCACTCAAATTAGTATCAATCATTTAAACTCCAAATCAAATAAATTTGAAATTGAAAAATAAAAAAACACTGGACTAGTGGTGAAGAAGCCAAAGCCTTTACTTTAAGTCGACTTCAAGGTACCCACCTGCTATAGTGAGAGAGCCTATAGGTTTCTGAAAAATTAATTACATTATCTACGTGTTTCTAGGTAAAAATATCATTTTTTTAAAATTTAGGTAGTTTTTTATCACTAAATTATATTGTATGCTTTAATTTGGTCAGGAATATCATCACTACAACGGTGAGATGATTAATGGAGTTATTAATTATGTACCCACTGAAAATAATGAATCTCAATAGTGATAGTGAAAATGTTGAAGAATATGAAAAACTCACAGGAATCATGTTTTATGAGATAAAAATATATAGTATATGGAGTATGATACATTACGTGAAGAAGTAGTTACTTCGCACAGCCAGATGCAGTTGGTGATGGATCAAAATGGAAACATGCAGTTTTTGTAGACTGATGTAAAAATGACCAAAAGTATTTTTGTTAACACTGATGATATAGGATTCAAAGTTGTAGGCTGTGTTAGTGACTATGGTGGTGGAATGTGGACTGTTTAACCAATTAGAAATAACTAATAAAAATCCAACATTCTTAATTCCCAAAGGAAGAAGGTTGGAAAAAAATATGTTCCTGATTCACATCACTTACTAAAGCTTGCTCGGAATTGGTTTCTAGACTCCTATTTTATTTTAAATGAAGCAAAAAAAAAATAGAAAACCATTAGGAGCTAGGAGCATTAATAACGAAGGTGTCATCTGAAGTGAGTTAATCTCGGAGTTTATGTTATAAATTGAAAAAAGAACATGTCTCAATGCCAAAATGTGAAAATAGCTGCTTAACTTCTGTCGCGTACTACGGCCACAGCACTAAAAAATGTATTAAATGGTAGGTACTGTAAATTATAGGGAAAGTCCACTTGGCCAGGGAAAGTTCACTTGGTAGCGAATAAGGGTGCATCCCAGGATCCTATTGCTGCAAAACTACTTTTTTTTGCACAATAAACGATTGTGACCGGGGGAGAAATAATGCCAACACCAGTTCCTCCTCCGGTTCTCTATAACAAGGAAAAAAGGTACTGTAAATTCCATAGAGCTAAATAAGCTTATCAATAATTGGTTCAATTTGACTTATGTTGCTCATCCAAATTATAAAGGAACACCATTCAAATCACTATAATATGGGTCATTTGTATATGAACAAGGCAAATTGTCAAATGAAGTTCATAATACTATTATTTCGATTTTCGATGAAATGTAAAGGAAAAAAACTGGCAACAAATTTTCCAAAAAGCCATTCTCATGTATATTAATGGAACAAAACTGCTTACAAAAATTTTAAAAGAAAATTACCTGAATTATTTGCTTACCTACTAGCAAAATAAATCAGGATTCTCTAAAAAATTTGTGTGGTCAACTTTGTTCTAGAAGTGGCCTTAATGACCACTAATTTCCATTGAATGCACTCAACAGATTACATATGATTATTTTATTAAAAATTCCAGGAGTTGTTTCTGATAAATCAAATACAATTGATAATAACGAGGAAGAATTTATGGTTGCTAAATCATTGAAATTACCTATCACTTTTTTTACATCGAGTCGAAATACACAATCTATATCATAAGACATAATACGTATATTATAGTTTAAAATATATATAACACGAGTACCTACACAAAAGAGAATAGTGATTTAAGAAAACACCCAATGATGACACTTTAATGTTAACTTTTTTTTTAATTGTGAAATTATTTATATAACATTTTTTTTCTATATTAAGATTTGTAAAAGGTCTCTGCACCATTAACGTTTTAAGCGTCAATATGGCTGCCAGGGATTGTGAGGGAGGAAGGTTTTTAATTAAAGGATTTGAGTGGGAGAAGAGACAGTTGTGGAATCTTTCATAAAAGTGTTTGGCTCCTTCATCTATTGTTTTTTAATTTCAGGTCTATGTGAAGGGCTGCATGTTACTTGCGTCCCCAAAAAAAATATATTTTTTAGGTAGTAAATTTGACCGGTAAGTTGCGTCCCGTTTTGGGGGAGTTTTGGGGGACGCAAGTCAACCATATTATTATTATCGATATTATCTTCAAAAATCATTAAAATCGATAGTATCGTGTGTCGTATATTGTTGACAGTCGTCAGCATAATTTTAGCATAATTTTTAGCAATTAAGGTATTAGAATAGGTCAAGCCTGGGAAGCTAGATGTGCTGAGGTGACAAAAATTACTTAGATATAAGACGGCCGCACGGGCAGGAACGAGGAGTCCCCGTCGTCGCCGGGTGTGTTGCCGAGAGCGTGCCATCGACGTGCACACGGAAGAGGCGACGATTGCTGTACGGGCGACTTTTGTTTATTTAGTTTTAAAATAAAAGTGTTTCCGACCCGTAAAATTATTTGTTTAATTTTTGAGTAGTCACGCAATTTTCCGTACTCTTTTCAATCCAATCTATATCACTTAAAAGTGCATATACGACACGTGTTACTAAAACCGATAGTTCATATATTGTAAATTTAGTATGATTCGGTAATGATTTATTATGACAAAATGTTTAACATGCATTTTTTTATTATTTTTTATTATATTATACTATATTTATTATGACAAAATGTATAACATGAATTTTTATATTACTATTACTATTATTATTGCAATTATTATTATTTTGATGGAAAAATGTATAACATGCATTTTTATATTATTATTATTATTAATATTGCAATTGAATTGAACTATTAATTTATTATAACTATTTTTATATTGTTATTATTAAAAATTAAATTTGTATCATCAATGTACATTTTTATATCGATTATATCGATATTTTCGGGACGCAATTAGGTCATAGAAAAAGGTATACCGGGACGCAAATACGCTATGATCTTTTTGAATCTTTTTTTTGCGGGATGCAACTCTCCTACTGATTATAATTTCGGACGCAAGTAGTATGCTCCCGTGTGGAGAGTGTGGTTCGATAAGTATGGTGGAGCATTTATAAATTTTCTAAGCGCAATGTGTTGAAAGGACTGAATTTTATTTAATTTTGTCTTTTTTGCACTTTCCCATAGCTGTATGCCGTACATCCTGATTGGTTCAAGTAATGATTTGTAGATTAACTA